TTTTGTATCGAGGTTGTGTTTCATGGGTAATTTTGATTCTTTTCTATTCTTTTCTATTCTCCATTTTTTTTTTCCTATTTTCCATTATGTATAATGTGGGCAAATATTAAAATAGAAGTTTAAGCCATGAAGAAATATTATAAGGCTGTAATATATGTTAATTTGCCAAATTAACAATACATTAAGATGAGAGAAAGACCTTTTAGAGCTGGAAGAGTCAAGGAAGACTTGGTGGAAATACAGAGTATGAGTCAAATGTTGAAGGGCTGAGAAGACAGAAGATGAATCTATATATTGCTTTATAAGTCTCTCAATGTTTTGCTCATTTTTACCCTTTTGTTTATTTCTTGTTGTTAATAAGTTTTATATGTAAAAATAAGTAAGTAGAAAAAGTGACTATGCATTTAATAAGTAACTACCTTAATATACTACTTAGTATTGGTATGTTAATTATATGCTAATAATGTATAATTACCATAATGGCTAGGAGGGGGAGGTGAGAGTGACAAAGGAGAGCAAGAGAACATCTTCTCCTTCAAAAGGCCTGTGCTTTGAAACTAAGATCAATGATATGATGTCTTCCTTCTTCTGTAGAGTCGTGTACTCTCTAAGAAGTTTTCTTCATAATTCTTATAGTCTTACATATTAAAAATGAGATAAAGTATATTGACTCTCTGAGATGTGATGTAAATGAGAATCGTGTTCAAAATGCATCACATCACGTATACAAGCATTTTGCAGTCAATCATGGTGATGTTTAACTTGGCAGGGTTTCTTACTAAAGCTAAGTGGGATCTTGCATGCTCTCATAAAGGGCTCCTTGATCTGCTACATTTGGTGCTCAATTTTATTCTGAAAGCATCTTCTTGTTATACCCTAGTAGGTGTTCTCTTTTGCATTAAAAAGAGCTCCAAATTTAAACAGGCATGGGCTACATTTTCAGTAGAAGACCCTGCTTGAGAGGGAGCATATTTAAAGGAAGCAGGTAGGGTGAGTGAATGAATACCCATGACATTAGATCCTGTGTGACCTAATCAGAGGAAGAGGACTTAGCAGCAAGGAACTGTCTTCCCAGGAGAAAATGACCAGAACTCTGACCATGGCTCATCAAGGCTGTTAGAAACTCAGAAAATTAAGTATCCACTGGCATTTTCCCTGAAGTTGGGTTGCTCAGATTTCTGTTTCCTTGAAAACATTATTTATTGGCCTCCACAATGGTACAATTTATTTTGAGATAAAAGTACAGAATATCTGTATTGAATTAATGACCAATCCAAAGAATTTTTATGGCAACTGAAGCTCAAATTTCATTGTGTTTTTCACTTCTGCATGTTAATTAACATTATATTTCTTATGCCTTGAAGCAAACCAGAGGTGGGAAAGGAGGAGGGGGAGAGGGTAAAAGAGGAATTGCTAAATGGCCACAAAAAATGATCAAATTATATAATGTTGAATATGCTAATTATCCTGATTTGAGCATCACATATTGCACACAGGTATTGATATTCAACTCTGTACCCCACAGATATGTACAATCAACTATGTTACAATAATATTAAAAAAAGATAAATTGTAATAATCATCAATTCTGAGAGGTGGGCAGTCAGATATTTACTCTCAAATTCTTTTCTGTATTTTTTAAATATTTAAATGTTTTTATACAGGTGATAGTAGAAAAATTAAGCAAAGCTTGTGAACTTATATCAAACCTAATCATTTCCGGTTTTCCAGTATTTTTAAAACGATGTTAGTATTGGGCAAGAGATACTTAACTAAAAATAATTTCAATCATGTAATTTTTGTTGAGGGTGTTGAACATAGTTTTATATAGAAACTATATTTTAATATGTTTTGAAAGAGAGTGGGAAGAGATTTGTTTGTGAATGATTTAGAAATCATCGAGTCCTGCTAATGACAGACTAATAAAAATTGTGGCAGTGGAAGGAGCATTTGGAGATCATTATGCTTGAGATTATTAATTCTGAACTATTGAAATCTACTCTGAATCACCAATTTCAGTTTTGCTCTATCACCAAATATTTTCCATGGTAATCAGCTGGGTTGATAACCTTTAGAGGTTATTTTGTTAAAAGCAGTATGATTCCTAAATTGAAGTTGGTAGAAATAAAAGTACCAGAGAACATCTCTTATTATTTCCATGATAATATTTCCTTCTTAGACCTGTGACCTGAAAAGTTACTTTTGAAGAAGAGGAAATTTGGAGGGTTAAGGATCTACTTAACTATCCCGCCATGGTCTATTCCACTTACTACTGCAGTCACGACAGGTGTGGGATACAGCCTATGTAGAATTTTCCCTGGGCCTTACAGAAGGGTCTGCTATTAAATTTGCAACCAAGAAACGTGAGGTTCTCTGGGGTTTTCCCCTGGAAGGTATGGTTCTGTTGTCAGTAGTCATTTCCTTAATAGAAATGGGTAGTAGAAAGCTGCAGGTGGTCCTGATCCAAGTTCCCTCCTCACAAGAAGAGCCAGGAGCTCCTACACAGGGCTACTTCCAGGTGCTGGTTAGCACCCCAGCCACAGCTTGGAGAGCCCAGGAGACTGCAGAGTGTTTGGTTAAATTCCTAAGGCAGTGAGGAAGAATGCATGAAATTATTGTTACGCCTGCTTGCAAGCCACAGGCAGATTCTCAGAACTCACGCTCAGGGTCCCTCTTGAGCTTACTCAGATTAGTTCACATTTAGGCTTCTTAACCAATTTCTAGCTCTTTGCCCTGACCTAGTAGAGTAGGGTTGGCTACTGAGTCAAGGCTGGTGAATAGCTAGATAAGCTAGAGTGGCTTCTGACAGCACTCATTCCTGCATACTTGTTGGTGATTTATTCCAGGACTCCTCCCGTCCCCCTGTCCCTTCTCCCAGGGTACCAAATTCTATGGATGCTCAAGTCCCTGATCTAAAATGGCATAGTATTTGCATACAACCTAACCTATGCACCTCCTCCAGTATATTTTAAATCATCTCTAGATTACTTATAATACCTAATACAATGTAAATGCTCTGTAAATAACAGTTATACTGTATTGTTTTTTAAAATTTGTATTAGTTTTTATTGTTGTCTTGTTTTGGGGGGGAATATTTTTGATCCACAATTGGTTGAATCCACGGATGTAGAACCCATGTATATGGAGGGCTAACTGTTTTCTATGAATAAATTTTGCTTCTTTGCCCTTTCAGATGGTTACAACTGAGAGAAAGAATAATGTGAAAATAAAGGAAATGTGTGCATCAAAGAGTGAAGAGAGACAGGAATGAAAGAGATTTCTCTTAAAAGAAAATGCTCACATGTGGGGTCTGTTGTGTCCGTGCAGGCTTTGGATGTCCCGCTCTTCACTTCTTCTGATTGCCTGTTGTACTTATATTCTGGTTTGAATGTCCATAAAATTGGGACCACATTCAGCCTTTGATATCTTGCTTTTGATTTGGTACAGTATTTATAGTTTTCTGTTTTGCAAAATTGTTTTTAGCTACCAGAAATATTTCTAATGTAGTTATCATTCTGTAGTTCTCACTTTATGTAACACATGTATTCTGGGACTCTTTTGTATAAGTAAAATGTTGGGGACTGAATATTGTGAATGTATTAATGTAACTTGATATTTAAATTAAAGCCACATGATTATTTTGTAAAACTGATAAGTAGTTTTATTTGTTTTGTGATATCAATGTTTTAAATATCTGATCTACTCAAAGTGAGAAAAATCTGTACTTTTTATATTCTTAAAAGCTATCTACCATCTAATTTTTCATTGTTATTGATACAACTCTAACCCATACAAATCACATCTACATTTTAAAAAAAACTTTACATTTTAAATCAAATGACTATACCTGTGAAATTGGAAAAAGAAACGCAAATTTTTTCAACAGGTAATTGTGTCTTGTTTTTATTAGGAAGCTTGCATTAAAATTATATCAAATGATATAAAACATGATTGACATTTTAACTGATGGATACATCCTGGTTCCAGTTGAGTACACACAGCCATTACCAAAAATGAAACAAAACAATAATAAAAAACTCATTAACAAACTTAATGGTCTTTCTGCCACTCCTGCAAAATAGGAAATGCCTCCACCCCATCATTGCAACACATCTACGCATCTATAAAAAACAATTTCTAAAGGCCAGAGAGCCCAATAATCTTACCAAAAATGAAATGTCTAGGGCCTATCTTTCCTTCATAGGCGAATTTTGTACTTATTGAGCATTACTAATTGACTATTTCTAAAGAAGTTATGCTTTTTGGTTATGTTTCACAAGCATAAAATCCAAGCTTATAGTTAGGTTTTGAAATGATCATTTTTCATCTAACCAACTGTCCGGGAACTTACCAGACTCGTGAGAAATTGTCTTAACAGTGAGAAGCTTCACACCCTCTTTATCGGACTGAGGTCTATTTGAAACAAAAACATTAAGATAGCACCACAGTAATTAGGAATGAATTCTATGAAAGAAAGTAAATGTGCCAAAACAGAATGAAGATACACATGTATATATATATTTACATGTTTCTATGGAAAAATTCTTGTCTCTTCTTCACTAGAAATACACATATACTTTTTAGCATTTTCCATTTCTGGAATTAAGACAATAAATCCCTCTCACTTAGTTACGTGGTGATTATCAGCTAAATTAAACATCAATATGGATCATGTGAAACATTTGTCACAAGGGCCATACTGCACGCCTCCTGTTCTGAATTATGAAGTGTAAGACATAGAAACATTTCCAAACCTTTCGGGCTGATGCTGAGTTCTGGGGATATCCCTTTATATAAAGTCCCGAGTTACTGCAGTACTGTGTCTGAACTGTCTGTTTTAACCAAGAGTTTACACCTATTCCTTCTCAGATTTCAAACAGTTTCAAACCCTAATTCCTTCCCTGGGACATCTTGACTGCCTCCATTTCTAATTTAGATGTGTGGATGACATAGAGATATTATTTCTAGAGTTTACGACCTGATGAAATACAAAAACACTTAAATAATGGAACGCTACAAATTCAGATAAACAAAGAAAACCTGGCCACGGAATTTGTTTTTCACATGGAAACAATTTGTCATGTCTCCTTGCCCCACCTTGGTTGTAACAGTTCCCTGCACTGCTAACAACTGCTTTGTTTGTTTTAATAAAGTCAAAATAGAGAAACTATCTACATTTAAGGCAAAGCCACTCAGAGCCGGCTCATGGTAGTGTAGATGTGGGTTTCCCTAACTGTGATAAACATACTGAAAATTTAACTGGGAAAACTATTTCAAAACTCTAGATATGTTCTCTATAACATTTTCCCTCATAGTTATATTCATTCTTCTACTTTTCCATTTCATCTTTTTATTTCCCATTTTACCTCTTTACCCAAGTTTAAGAGCAGTTTTCTCTTTTAGTTGTTGGAATTTCTCTGTATAGTAGAGAGCTCTGACAAATAGCTGAATCCCAAATATAGTGCTTTCTACACAAATCTCTTTTAAAAACAATTAAAAAATATATAAGTAGAGGATCAATAATTTTCCTTATCTAAACAGTAGGGTCAGAACTCCTAGGAAAAAAATGATGTGGCCTTACTTACTGATCATTTCCATTTTCTGGCATGCCTAGGAAAAAAGAGAGTTGTTATTAGAGTTGGAAAGAGCTTGGCCACAAAAAAACCTGAAACCCTGACAGCTTTCAGGGTAGGGATGTTTCTAAAGCCAGTGTTTCTTTTTTTTATCCCCCACAGACCATTTCCTCAACTATGGTTAATGCACATCTTGACATTCATGGGATAGTCCTAATTATATTAACTGCACTTAACTGAGTTCTGGACTAATTTTGATCTCATAGTTTCACATCATTATGTGAAACTACTGTACATTATCATACATCCCACAGACACTAGATAATGTCTCAGTTTATTTCAGAATCTCTGAAAAAATTATTCTCAAAGTATTAAATTACCTTTTTATACCAGAGAATTGAATTCCCACTTTCCTTTATATATTCCTCTTTCTTGGGATGCAAATCGCTGTATGTGGTGAGCTACAATGTAGATATTGTTTGTAACTGCATCTTAAGCCCACTGATTCAGTCTCTCAAAAGTGCCCTGCAAGATGTCACTGAGACTACTAACTGCAACTAATCTTTTGTATGCTTTGCCAGGTTGCTTCACAAGTGTTTTGTGGAAAAACGTTGGGTTTAGAGTGAGAACTCAGAATGATTCATTCTGCTTAAGGACATGGTCTCTCTGGAGTGGATGTTGGTGGTCGAACCCTGCATTAACCCAATTAGGCCAGCTGCTCAATGTGATAGCTTAAGGTCCTTCTTGTTTTGTTCCTGATTTTGCTATGGTTTTATTCCATTGCTAATCAGCTCCTCCTTCTTGAATTTCTTTTCAGAACTAATCTAGCTGTCACTGGGATATGCCCTTGGAATATAATTCTCCTGGCTTTGACCACTCTTGTTTTATAAAAACCTTGACTTCCACTAATATTTTGGCTGCTTCTATTTCTGTCACCTTGGCTAAGATACCCCATCATAACTCTTAATCCCCAGGATTTAATCCATGGCACCAAATGCTGTTCACCAGCTAGACTGAACTTCATCTTCTCTCTATCAGTAGGGTTTTAACAGCATTTTTTGATTCCCATAAGTGTCATACACAGTATCACCCGGGATGCTCATAGCTCTGTTTCAAAATGAGTGGATATATTTTATATGTCTGTTTTAATATTTTTTCCTAGAATGCTATAATGATGGGGGTATTAACAGATAGAGGCATGCCGACCGACTACTTTCTACATATATACCATTCCTATTTGGGTTAAATCTCAGCCCACTGTCAACATTATCCAGATAATTTAATTTCATACTAAAATCTGATTCATTTTGTCTTCTAGAGAGCAGAGTGGGTTTATTAATTTTCTGAACTTAGTGAAGTCTCATCCACACACTTGAAAAATGAGTAACTGCAGATGTTTAATGGTGCTAATTTAATGACAACAATGCTGTAAATTCTGTTTGGAAAATAAAGTTAACAGTAAACAAATAGATTTGGCTAACTGTATTGCCAAACTTGCTTTTAAAGTACTATATATCTTCAGAATAACTCACCACAATGGCAGGAGTTTTATATATTCAGAGTCCTCTTTAGTAGAAAATGTCAACTTTTCAAATAATGTATTTTCAAATCTTCCTATGCAAAGCAGTTTTTCAGTACAGGGTATTTTTACAAATGTTTTTAGCACACTAATTTCTACCTATCATATATACTCAACAGCCACAGCCTTCAACTCAGATGGCTGATTTACCATAAAATATATATAGAAACTTAGAGAAATTAAAATAATTTATAAAAATGCTATTTCCCCTCCAGAAACTGGGTAAGGAAACGTATTTCAGACATTATTATAAAGTTTATCCACTCACTCCCAAAGGAAAAGACATTGGTTAGTTTTCTTCTTATTTTTCACCAAGAGCTAAAATGAGCACCACTGTTTGGTCTCCTAACATTTCCTTGCACTGTCATGATCATGGTCAGTTGTTGGCCTGGGGAAGGGCATTCATTAGTGTCCTGGGGGCATACTGTCCAGGGCGTAAACAAAGCATAGTGCAGATTATATAGCTTATAAAAATAATTGCTTTTTACCTTTTAACAGTTTATGAGACAGGTAGAATTTTGTTAGTGAAATATTTAGAATCACAGTGGGGAAAGTGAAGTTTCTATTTTATTGAACATTTAAAAATTTAACTCAACAAGCACATAGTAAGGGTCTGCTATATATGAGAGTACTTAAAAAAATTCATGGAAACATAGAATCAAAAGGAACTATGAATCTTCACATGTATTTTTTGATGTGCCCTCATATTAGGGACAAGGCAATGTGCATAGTATGTGGTTTGCAACTTGGAGGGTGCCTGACTTGCAGGGGAGGCTGGCACATAAGTAAGTAACTGTACTATAGTAAGATGAATGAGATCATCAAATTATGTACAATTAAAATTAAAGGAATAATCCATTTTGCTTGAAGAAGTGGTGTGATATAAAAAGATGGAGTAAATTGGTGTTTCAGTTGGATCCTAATGGATAAGTTGGGGATTAGGTATGTTATAAAAGCTATGAGGTGGGCTGTACATTCCAGGAGAAGAAATAGTATGAATGAAGGCTCAGACACACGACTCTGCATCACACAACCACAGCAGGGGTCTGGAATGGAAAGACTGGAGGTAAGTTAACATAGGGGACAACTGAGCCATGGGAGCCGAAGAGGGATTCAGGAGAAGCCTTGAGTAGAAAGAGAGCTAAAGTTCCTGGAACAGAAAAAAAGACCGAATAAAGACTGAAATAAATCTGAATGCAGTAGAGATTTAGTTAATAATAATTTATCAGTATTGGCTCATTCATTGTAACAAATATATCACACTAACATATTAATAATCAGGAAAACTAAGTGTGGAGTATATGGGAACTCCCTGTACTGTCTTTGCAACTTTTCTGTAAATCTAAATCTCTTCTGAAATAGAAAGTTTATTTTTAAACAAGAATAAAAACCATAACTGTCATGGAAGGAAGCTGTGCCTCCGTGGAGGGAAGTAAGTCACAGAACACTCTTCGTGAGATTATGGGCCCCTAAACTGAATTCTTAGCAAGCTTTCCCTTTATTCTCTGTTACATGGAAAGGGAATTAATCCTCACTTTAGATAAGGCGTGTCACTATGCACGCTTTACTACCATATTCCCCTGATGACTCACAAAATTTGGGCTACTTCACTGAAAAAAAGTGCCCATATTTGATAATAGTACTTAATCCCCATTCCTTACATTCACTAGCATTCAATGGATTTCTCTGCCCCTTTTCCTCTATTTCTGTGATCAGGCAATATGGCATTTTATTCCTTTCTAGAACTCCTCTCTTCCTGTAAGAGTTTAAGACTGAGCATATATTCATTCTCCTTTCAGGAAAACAAAACAAGACAATGTTACCTACCTGGGTCTGTCTTCCAGCACATTCGATACAAACCCACCAGAACAAATACTGAAAGTGTTATTGCAATCAAAGCAATAACCACTGGCAACATAACACCTAAAAAGTATTGGGGACATTGTCAATCAGAGTAGCTACTGAATTTCACAAAGTTTATTAACTGAGCAAAAGCATGCATGTTTCCTTTCTTCTTTACATATCATTCTATTAAAACTATATTTTAGGCAAAGAAGACTTATTTAGTTTAAAGGTTTTGCACTAGTTGTCATTTTTGACACATCCACTTGATGTCAGTCTTGTAGCCTTTCTGAAACAAAATTCCAAACCAAAGACAGCTAGTTCTCCCACATTCCTGGAGACTGGAGAAGTGAGGAGATGGAAGACTGCAAAGGCAGAAGATGTTCTCTATATTATAATTAAACCCACACTCACACATTATATTCCTCAGTACTTTATAATAAAGTTACTGGAAAAAAAATATATGTAGCCCATTTGGGACTACATTAGTCGTAATTCTGGCTTTCTAAAAAACAAATATCTTTCTATAATACTATCTTAAAACTGGAAAAGGCATAAAATAACCAAACTATATACCACAGTGGATGTGATTCTTAAAAACGAACAACACAGTTCGGGAGAAATGTGTGTGTGTGTGTGTGTGTGTTTTGGGGGGAGTGGTGTTGCTGCAGTAACCTAGAGTGAATTTTTCCTAATTTCATTGAGAAGAAGGTTTTTTGCTGGGGTTTTTAGCATCTGTCTTCTTTTCTGATGGTCACTTCCCAGGTTAAAATTATAATGATGGCAAACAAGCTGTCACAGGGATACAACTGGAGGAAGTTAAGGTTACTGCATTTAGTTACGTATTCTCATCTACTTGCATATGTGCTCCTCATACATTTATCAGGGGGCGGGAATAATTCTCCAATTCATTGATAGGGTGGTTTATACTTCCACTGTCAGAGTTAAATGTTTGCATTAAGTAAGTTCTGCTGATTTCATAGTAGACCTTGAGTGAGGTCATTATTGCCTCCTAAAATGAAGATGCTATGAGTCAGCAGGTCAATAATTTCCATGCTGACTTATTTGATGGAATTAAATCTTCTTATTCTCAATTGCTAAGAAAATGATTGAGTATTCTCTATTCAGTGTTAGCATACATGTAAATATTATGTGACATATATGTTTTAGCTAAAATGGAATGTTTGTTAAAGACCATTTTTAACATTAAGTTCTGTCAAGGTGAAAAACTCATTATTTTGTATAATTTACCTTCTCATTTTTTAATTTAAAAATATTTAACTGACAAACAAAGATAGAATATATTCAGGGTCTACAACATGATTATTTGGCAACAATTCATTTTTATGGGGATCGCTGCCGGTGTACTTTGGTATATCTGAAACTAGTCCCATCAAGTCATCCCTGGCTCTTGGTGGTAATCAATTAGTACTAACGTAAAAAAAAAAAAAAAAAAAAAAAAAAAAAAAAAAAAAAAACCACCAAGGG